GGGCCTCAAAATCCCATTCCTAACAACCTAACCTCATGGAGGTTCCAACACCTCCCAGAAGTGTTATGAATGTTGGGGACCAAGCCTTTAACACAAAGGCCTTTGGGGCATGCTTATTCAAATCATGGAAGAAATTCTATTTTAGTTCAGGAACAAATTTCTATAAAGAGTAAGCTTGAAACAATTACAATATGCCGATATTTTGAGAAATCCTGTCATAAAGTCATAATAGAAAATCAAAACCAGAAAGGCATTAAACTAGAAATTGTGACATTGATCAAGATATATTCTATTCATAAATGGTTTTGTTAAATGGACAACTCCTTTGTGCAACTACGTAAAGATTAAGAAGAAAAAAAGCAACAAAAATAAAAGAAATGTAGTGAAGAGAAGTCAGGAATAAATAACACGCAACTTAATGTATCACTCATTAACTCTTCTCACTTGGAAAGAGTGAGGCCCATTTCTGGTCCCACCAGCAGAGCAGTGTTCCCTGCTTTTTTGTTCCTATGGCTCCTTTAGGACCAAGTCTTGCTAGCACAGAGCTTAGTGGTGGGGTCCTAAGGTGTAGCAGTCATTGCCCTGCGCTGGGCCATCATCTTCTCCATCATGACTTCCTTTGTGGAATCACAAGTTGTCTGGTATAGTGGCCTACACTCCCTAAGTGAGTTCTGGAAGAGCAACAGAGCCTACATTGCCCCTAGATAGGATGTTTTTGTTTGTTCTATTAACTAGTCCCTTGGGCTAAATCTAGGGAAAGCGTATTTCCAAGATAAAGAAGATCCTGTGCAAAGCCCTAGGACTGAGATAGAGCCTGGCCTATTTAGATAGGAGCCATAGCTAGAACTTGAGGGCAATTTGGAGATGACAGAGAGAGGGGGGGGGACTTGGAGAGGTTTTAGTTTAATAAGCTGTGTCTGGACATTTAGGTTTTATCCATGGAGTGTTGAGTGTTGAGATACCTCAAGGTATTAAATCAGGTTAGTGACATGATGGGTGGAATTTCAGGAAAATCCCTCTGATGTGTGTGTGTGTGTGTGTGTATGCATGAATATGTATGTATGTACAAATATGTATGTATGTATATAGGTTCTGGGGTTTAAATTCAGGGCCTCGGTTCTCATATAGCTTTTTGACTCAAAGCTGTTACTCTACCAGTTCACCACATCTCTACTTCTGACCTGCTGGTTAATTAAGGATAAGAGTCTTACTGACTCTTCTCTCTCTGATGGCTTTGAACCACACTTTTCAGTTCTCAGCTTTTGAGTAGCTGAGATTGCAGGTGTAAGCCACCAGTGCTCAGCCACACCTTAGTTTTGGTCTACTTTTCAGCCAAGAATGTGAAGCGGAAACTTTTGGGCCAATCTTGTCACAGGTATATGTAATTTTCTATGTCCTTTTTAATACACTACAGCTTTCTCTATTACAAAAACTTGTACGAGCTGAGTTTTATTTGTAGGATTTCAATGCATCATTTTCACAAGATCAAGTAATAAAATTTAAAGAAGAGTTTCTTAAAGCACCCTAAATCAATTGTTCTGATGACGCACTGCCAAGTTATACTCACTAAACTAAAAAACCCTACTTTACTGTTTTTCAAATATAAGTCAAAAGATGAGTGGTTAATGGCATATGATTAAGAGGAACTTTATTGTCATATAAAATATGTACTTACTAATTTTTTTCTTGTCAGTTTATCAAGTCAATACTTTAATTTTTTGGATAGGGGAAAATCCAGCTTTGTCACACGACTTTTGCATTATGAACATGAATCTGTTGTTCATCTGTTTTGTTCCTGTTAAAGGATGAATTGAATTTCACAAACCCAACACATTTTACTTATTAAACATGTTAGTTCAAGAATTTCATGTGGTTCTATGAAGATATGTATCTACTAGTGGATGGCCAATCCAAATAGAAGATCCAGCCAGTTGGCCTCTGACCCAATTCATCCTCCCAGCTTCTTTCTGATTTGCAAAACACCTGCCTTTGGGAAGAGAATATGGCTCAAAATAGTCATACTTAGTTTGAGTAGTTCCTAAACATTCTCTTCTGAGATTTGAGGGATGCTGTCTTTCTATGAGTGCATACATGCTTTTCCTTATAAGTTCTGTAGAAGACCAAACACTAAAAATTTCCTTAAGGTATCAGAATTCACATCTGCTCACTTAAATCTAGTTTTTGGCTCTATAGTTCCCTCAGTTTGTCCTATTGATGAGGATAATTCTAAAAATAATATCTGTGCTTAGATAGGTGAGGCGGTGTGTGCCCTTGCCAGAGATCTGAGTTTAGAACTCTGCTGACTGGCTTGTTGGTCTCTCTAACGCAGTGATATTCACAGATGTGAATTCGATTTGAAGCCTGTTTTGTGTGTTTGAAGATGGAGAAGCAAATTATGTAAGGCCAGAATTTCTTGTCAGGTCCCCACTCCACCCTGTTCTAACTAGGTCTGATCCTTGCAAGGAATTCAGAACAAAGAACTCTGTATTAAAAAACATTTCATTACATGCCACATCTTGTCCTGAGTCAATGGTCAGATAAAGACCTGAGCAAGAAATCAGTATGGAATAATGATCTTTTGTTTATTTAATTTATGTGGAGCAAATGAGAAATGTTTGAAATAATACATGCCATTTTATTTATTTTTTAGTCTTAGTTCAGTCAGGGTTTTTGTCCTAAGACATGTATCAGTTGAGGTTTACAAAAATAGGCTTCTTTATAAAAGCATGCCAATACTTACTAATTCATGAAGTTTAATATTCTACAGAGCAGCCTTTTTATAGGAGGGGGATGGACTTTAAATCAGGGCTCAGGGTTGCTGAGCAGGTGCTATACCACTCGAGTCACACCTCCAGCCCTTGAGTCATATCTTTAACCCTGACATGTTTTGATGGTTAAGATGGAGGTGACGGACTGGCTGTGGCGGTCCACCACTATGGTCCTTGCTCTTTGGGAGGTGGTGATAGGAGGATCACAGTCCAAGGCTAGCCCAGGCTAAAGCACAAGATGATCTGTAAAACAGATGAAGACTCAGTAGGGTTGTCCAGCAAGTACAAAAACAACAACAAAAGGGCTGGGAAAGTGGCTCAGTGGTAGAGTGCTTGCCTCACATTCACGAGGCCCTGGGTTCGATTCCTCAGCACCACATAAGCAGAAAAAGCCAGAAATGGTACTGTAGCTCAAGTGGTAGAGTGCTAGCCTTGAGCTGAAGAGCTGAGGGACAGCGTCCAGGCCCAGAGTTCAGGCCCCACAACTGCCAAAAAAAAAAAAAACAACAACAAAAATGAGATGACTTAGAGTGTATACTTCCTGAGGACAACAAAGTACGTATACCTAGGGTAACATGAGAGCACTGCGGTATGACTTGGGCTGGAAATCCTGTATGAAGTTGACACATACATCATCATTAAGCTCACAGAAGCTGATTCTGTGATTCTGATTCTGTATCACAATCAAGGTGGAAAAAAATGAGCATGGGGTGAGTCCTGAGGGCAAGGAAGGAATTGATGCCCTTCCTGTGGTCCCACCAGGCAGGAGAGTGCAGTGTGAGGTACAGGAGAGAGGGAGGAGACAAGCTCGAAAGGCCAAAGAGGAGACTGGAAAGAGACTGCAAAGACAGCAGGGAAAGTGGACTCAAAATTAGGTGACAGCAACCAGGTTCTCTGAGAGCTTACACCATCAACAATGCTGAGTAAACTCTTGACGTGTGTGTGGTCTGTTGATGTCCTGGGTTAATTCTATATCAAGACATCATGAAGAGGAGGAAAGGCAGCCTGACAGATGTTCATCTGGATTGTGGTGGAATCATTCCTAACCATGCTGCCACCCAATCCACTGCCAGACTTGAACTTAGACAGTGTGTGTGTGTGTGTGTGTGTGTGTGTGTGTGTGTGTGTGTGTGTGTGTGTGTGTGTGCAGTGGGTTTGAACTCAGGTCCTGAGTGCCAATTGCTTAGCTTTTTGTTCAGACTGGTTCACGTGAGCTACAACTCCATGTCCAGCTTTTTGATAATTCATTGGTGATAAGAATCTCAGAGACATTTTTTGTTGTTGTTGTTGTTGGTTGTGGGGCTTGAACTCTGGGCTTGGGTGCTGTCTCTGCGCTCTTCAGCTCAAGGTGAGAGCTTGAGCCACAACTCCACTTCCAGTTTTCTGATGGTTTATTGGAGATAAGAGTCTCATGTACTTTACTGCCTAGGATGGCTTTGAACTGTGATCCTCAGATCTCAGCTTCCTGAGTAGCTAGGATTACAGGCGTGAGCCACTGGCACCCAGCTCTCAGAGACTTCCTTGCCCAGTCTGGTTTCCAACTGTGATCCTAAATCCCTCCTGACTAGCTAGAATTACAGGTCTGAGTTTCCAGCTCCCAGTTTAAATATCTAGGTAAGATTCTTTAATTTATAATTTAAGAAGGGCCACTTGGCAACTTTCTGACTGAAAGTTTGATTTCTAAGAGTGCTGACAATTTCAGTGAATGGCCTTGGTACAAAAACCAAACCAAAACCAAACCAAACCCTCAAAGCTTATCTACGAAGAAACCTTGAACTCCTGAGCAAGTACAAACATTGTGCTGAGGGCAGCGGGCGGGAGGCAGGGGAGTGTGTGTGTGTGTGTGTGGCTTATTGGTAGAGTGCTTGCCTCCTGTGTATGAGGCCCTGGGTACCATCCCCAGCCCTGGAGGGAAATAAACCCCCCCATAAATAAATAAATAAATAAACTCAAGCCACATTGTGTCGCATAACCTAGGCCATGTGAATGGGAGATGATTTCCCCAACAAACTCAAAGTGAGGGGTTGAGGTGGAAATGAAGTGTGGCAGAGAGATTTTGTTTACTCTGAGCTTACAGAGAAAGGCAGACAGATGGAAGTTACAACTTCACTGGGTCCGAGAAAGTGGTGGCATGTACACAGGCTTCAGCATTTTCCCTGAAGATTCTGACCAGCTGAGTTTCCTAAAAAGAAAAAAAAAACCAAATTAATCCTGTTCTCTTGTGTTTACTAGGGCATAATGACTACATGTGTCCTGCGACCAATCAATGCACCATTGACAAAAACAGGAGGAAGAGCTGCCAGGCCTGTCGACTCCGCAAGTGCTACGAAGTGGGGATGATGAAAGGAGGTAGGTACCCTTACCTGGGGCCAGGGGTGGGGGCAGGAGGGCAGGGGATGGATTGGACCACAAATCATAATGACCACACTGCTCCCGCTCCTGTCCAGGGCTGGCTCTTTCTGTTTTGTATAACCACCCCTGAACATTTGCTGTCGCTGAAGTCATGTGACTATCCTATTCCTTGTTTTCATTGGACATGAGCTGCATTTTCGTGCTGTGATCTGTTTTATGGATGGATTAATTGTACTGATATTGGGGCTTGAACTCAGGGCCTGGTGCTTTTGCTTGGCTTTTTCACTCAAGGGCGAGTCTCAGCCATTTGTGCCACACTTCTACTTCCAGCTTGTTGCTGGTTCTTTGGAGATAAGAATTTCATAGATGTTCTCGCCCTGCCTGGCTTTGAATTATGATCCTCAGATTGTAGCCTCCTGAGTAGCAAGATTTACAGGTGTAAGTCACCAGTATCCAGTGATGCATTTTATTTTACTTTTTTAAAATTGGAGGCAACTGAAACTGGAAACTCGAACGTGCCATGTTGTATTTTATATTCTCAATGTAATCATATTTTAAATCAGAGGTGTGTGGGAGGTAGTGGAAAGGAAGGAAGACTTGATCATTTTCAGGGAGCATTTATATTTCTAGTGTTTGAAAATGATATCTGGAGATAAACTTCCATTCAATTGAAACTTGTACGTGATGAGCTAAATAGCCAATTTACAACTCTGGAATGTCTTCACATAGCTGAGGAAATCTGAATTTGAATCAGGAGGTATCACTGTCTTTTAGATGCTTTGTGGAGCGGGACCTCGCATAGTGTGTATGCCTAGTGGTGCTGGGGGCAGAGGAATGATTCCTGGTCACCAAGGCATCCAGAAGCCCTCAGCATCTGGGACCACTGTGCTAGTCTTGATGGTGGTCATGGCTTCCTGCCTCCTCCTTTACAGTCCTCTAGTTTTCTTGTATGGGAATCTAGAGACCAAGTCTTGGGAATGTCAGCTGTTCCTCCTATGGGGTTTCCTGATTGATGCATTTGTGCTCTTGAAATCTTACATTGAGAAGCATTGCTTCTACTACTCTTGGGTAGACATCAACATAGCATAGGAGAAAAGTAGGCACTGTCTAATTAAAAACAAGTCCTAGATACTCAAGGTTTCATAGTCCTGTAGGAGAGAGGAGGGGCCGGTGAACCCACTGCCTGCCCATTGTCCTGGGTGAAGTTTCCAGAAGCTTTGGGGTGAGCTTAGGAAAACTAAGTGGCAATGAAAAAGAATACTGATTTTGCAAATAGAGGCCAGCTAACTTTGAACTCATTTATACCTGGATGAAGGAGGATGGTATCAAGGCAGACTGGGTTGTTAACACCTTACCATGAAGGATGTCTTCCTTCTGCAGACAGGCTGAGACTGAATACATTGGATGTGGAATGAATTCTCTGGGTGCACAGATGCGGAATTCATGTTTTGTGTCAGATCTGACCAGACTTCTAGAACATCTGAAAAAACAGCTTTAATTCAAAGGGTGATTGATTCCAAGAACTGCACATCCACATTCAGAAAATGACACCTTAAGTCAGAAATGGATTAAATATTTAAGAAATTCATCTTCCTTTGTACTGTTGGAAAATTAGTCAGGCTTAATTAAACTCACAAAAAGCTTCTCAAGGTAATTTGATAAGTGACAGGATATAACAGCTACTTAAGACAAGTTGAATTGGAAACAGGGGAGTCCAAATTTAATATTGTTCTTTGGCAGTTGTAAGCAGAGGATGAAGATCTTCATCCTCTCTGAAAAATGAAATGGCCAATTATGAATATGTCTACAACATATTTTTTTAACCTTCTTTCCCCAAAATTTGCATCCAGATGCTGTCTGGCTACATAAATATAAATTATGCATTCTCATTTTCAACCTAACAAAAATTCTTATTTGTAAAGGCATTAGCTAAAATCTTCTTACTGTTTTCAAATAAGACTGCAGATAATTTGAACTGTACTGGGCCAGTCTGTGCATGCATTTATTTCCTCATGTATATTTATGAGTGCAAGATATAGATCTGTATTAGTTGTCTGGGGCTGCCATAAGAAATACTACACACTGGATGGGTTAAGCAACAAAAAATTAATTTTTTCATCTTACCAGAGGCTGGAAGTCTAAGGTCAAGGCAGTAGAAAATTCATTTGCTGCTGGAGGCCTCTTTCCGAGGCCGGACTGTCCTCGGTTGGCCCCTCCTCTTCCCACACATGCCTGCTCTCTTTTCTTTTTCTTCTAAGGACAGCAGTCCTATTGCATTAGACTCAGCCCTTGTGATTTTATTTAGCCTCAATTATCTCCAGAAATCCTATTTCAAATATAATCATATCAGAGGCTAGAGATTCAACACACAGCTTCTTTGTTTTGTGGTAGGGGCACAATTCAGTCCAAATAGGTGTCACAACAGATTGGATGACTTCATAACCCAAATCAGTTTTCTCTTGGAACTGAGGGCTTCAGGCTCCAGGCCTTGCTCCTCAGCTTGCAGTTTGCTATCTTCCTCCTGTCCTCACACAACCTTTCCTCTCACGCTGCTGGTGTCACTTCCTCTATTTAGAAAGACACTGGTCATGTTGGATTAAGGCCCTACCCTTATGACCTTGATTCCTCTTAATTACTTCTTTAAAAGGCCTAGCTTGTGACAGAATATCACTCTGAAATCTAGGCGTTAGGGTTTCAGCTTATGAATTATATAGTTACACCAGGCAGTACAGAATAATACTGGTACTCAGTCAGTATTTAGTATCTGTCTACAAATAATAAAAATGTTGTCTTTCTGGCGAAGCTTATATATGTACATATGTGTGGAGTCAAGTTGCTTATGAAGACATTTTATTTATTTTTTTGGGGGTCCAGTAGTGGGCCTGAACTCTGAACCTGGGCGCTGTCCCTCAGCTCTTCAGCTCAAGGCTAGAGCTCTACCACTTGAGCCACAATGCCACTTCGGGCTTTTTTTCCTGCTTATGTGGTGCTGAGGAATCGAACCCAGGGCCTCATGCATGCAAGGCAAGTGCTCTACCACTGAGCTACTTTCCCAGCCGAAGACATTTTATTTTAATCATCCGTGTAAAGTGCTTTCCATAAAGCAATATCATTTATTTTATTTTCTATAATGTGGGATATACACATAACCTTATAATACCATATATGACAGTGTAGAAATCCCCCTGGATTAAGATTTGATTTAAAAATGGAAGTACAATCATAATGATAAAATTTTCAGTTGTAAAAAAAGCAGTGACTGAGTAAATCTTTCCACATGGCTCCCCAGCAGTCCAGTTTCCTCACCAGATGAACACTCACGATATTGAATTCCAATTACAAACTAGCAAGTTGAGTTTTAGGGAAAAAATCATAATTTATTCAGCCAAGCTGAAGATATATTCTTAAGATCCAAGAGTACATCATATACCAACTTGATGACACCCTTCTAATCAGTTAGAATGGCTGGTCTCCCCAAAATGCCCATCAATATTAGATATGATGTGAGCCAGGGAATTCAGTAAAATTCAGGAATTAGTATGTACCTGGGGGCATTGTTTTCACATTTTAGTACACATGATGATCTCTCTCTCTCTCTTTCTCTCTCTCTCTGTCTCTCTCTCTGGGTTGTTTTTTTCTTCTTCATTAGCTTCCCTCCTCTTCAATCTCAGGCTACAGATTGAAAGTCCCTGCTCCCTTGAAGTAGGTCAGATCCTATGTTCTAGTGTCAGAGCAAACAGATTTCCTCTGAGATCCAGTCACTAGTTGCTCACAGTCTATCTTTCTGAATAGTTTATAAGCTCCATGGAGACAGTCTGCAATTCCCTCTAGCCGTAAACATCTTTAAACACATTCCAATGATGCATTTAGAGTATATTGTATTTATGAACAATACATGAGATTTACTTATGTCTATGAGATAAAGAGGATAAAGACCATGAATAAGATTGTCATATAAGAATATGAATAAGAAGATGAATGAAACAATTCTTTCCATCCATGTCCTGATGATACATAGAGGATATTTGCATGTAAGGTGGTAAATGCAAATCCAGAAGATAAGTTGGGGCTTGACTGAGTTAGAAGGTGTCTCAAGTATGAAATCCTGGCTGCAAGTCCATAGCTCTAGTCAATTACTTCTGAGTTTAGTCTCATGCAGTAAATTACTCAGACCATATGACTTCATGACTTCAGAGTTGTGTGTGTATGTGTTTATACCCACAATGATATATATATTATATATGATATTATATATTTTATATATGATATATATAATATATATGATATATATATCATTGGGTATGAAATTGGATATTAATTAATGGGGAAGAGGAAAATTTCAGATGTGAAATTCTAAGTCAAATAGTGGCAACTCTTCAGACCTGCTGGAAAACTCCATTAGAGGCATTATTCTTAGATGCCAGTGTGTCTTGAAGATTTTAAATTGTAATATGAAAATCCCGTATAAGTTCAACTCCCATAAAGTGTTAGCAATGATACCTTTTGGCTTTTTTTTTGTATCTCAGTTAAAACTTTATCATACCTGAATGCTGCTTGGTGGTTGTTTTCTACTTGGAAGGAAGAAAATAGCACTTTGATCACTTTTACTAAATATAAATATCTAATTCCTACATGGGAAGTAAAAATACCTGACTCAGACATATGCCTCATTTTAGAGAAGCCTTTTGATGTCATAGGTTGGAAATAGCGCCAAGTGAGTGAGATTGGTTGCCTATGAGATTTACACAGTTTATTAAAGTTCTTGACTCCCTGTAGACTCAAAGGCCTGTTGGGAGTGAGGTTCTCATTTCGCTGAAGAGGAAATTGACATGTAGAAATTAATTGATGTGCAGGAAACATCCTGATTATGTTTCATCATGACACATTGTAGTAGTACTGGTAACAACAGTAATTTTAGAGCCCAGGTTGGTAATAGAATTTACCAAAAGGGAGAGTAGAAGACATAAAGGTTTAGGAGGATATCATTAAAGAAAAAT